AAGAGGCATTGGCTGTGAGGGGATGAGGGGTGGTGTGTCAGCATGGAGGCTGTGAAAGGACATTGGGTTTGGGGGTGTGAGGAGATGGGGATGGGGGCTGTGAGGAGATGGAGGCTCCTGTAGGGGAACAGAAAGCACTGTGAGAGGGTAGAGGCTGCGAGGGGAGGAGATGGAGGGTGTGAGGGGATGTTGGGTGTGAGGGGAGGACAGGGTGCTGTGAAGGGATGGGGTCAGTGGGGGCACAGGGAGTGCTGTGAGGGATGGGGCTGTGGGGAGCTGCAGGCACCGCTGTTCCTCCGCATTGTTCCCACAGCCTTTCCCCTCTTATTTTGCATCTTAGGTGTTGATTTTAAAGTGAAGAAGATGGTGGTAGATGGCCACACGGTGCAGCTTGCAATATGGGTAGGTTTGGTTTGGGGCAGATGTGGGAACGTAGAGATCTCCTGTAGGGGCTGTGCAGCAAACAGTCTGTGTGCTGTACCGGATGCACAGCGGATGCTTTATTTTGGTTGCTTCAAACTTCTGGTGCTGTGTTTCCAGCGTGTGAAAACTGGGAAATCAGAGTGCAGAGTGTGTTCAGGTTTACCTGTAATGTTATTAAAGCACTGAGTGTTTTCTCCTAGATGGACTGTAGGCCCATGAAGGGTTTTTCAGGTGTTGGGGCATAAGTATTTGAGAAAGAACGCTCTATTCTGGATTAAGCTATTGGGACTACTGGAAAGAAACATGCCTAGGGCTGGTGGTAACACAGGGAATATTGGCATCAGAACTCGTGTTATTTCTTGGTTTTTCTTTATGGCTTTGTGTATGGAAAGTAGAGTGGGACTGTTGAGGTTGCAACTGCCCCAGCTGTGTGCGCTGGCTGTGTTCTGAGCAGAGCCTTGCTGGGACTCATAGGAAACCTCATAACCATGCAGGGGTGGGCCTGCTTGCTGTGGAATGGAAACATACACAGGTTGTGTAGCTGGAAAAGGAGCTTTACAGCGGTGACAGCCATCTGGAGAGGCTGCTGATGAGCTGGAAGGGAAAACTGGTGCTTGGAGAATGTTAAATAAAAGCTTTGATGCGTGTACCAAGCATCAAAGTGAAGGAGAGGCTTTGACTTTAGTATCTATGGGTTCATTATAACCTCCTTAGTAAGCATAACCTGTACTAAGTGAATACACTGCCAGTTCTAATAAAGTAGAAATAAATGATAACATAGCTGTTGGTCTGTCTATGACAATCTGCACGTAAATCTAAACACTTCTTTGGTAACAATAATAAACGCTGTCACTTTTTTGCCTTCTTATTGTTTGTTTTGCGTAGAGTGGAGTATTTGGAAGACTCTAGAGAGAGTGTGACACAACTTAGCAATAATTGAATAAAACTGCTCATTCTTCTTGTTTTCTTGTTTGTGTGTGTTTTCTTTTTTTTTCCCCCAAGGACACAGCGGGCCAAGAGCGCTTTAGGTCACTGAATCCCAGTTATTACCGAGGAACTCAAGGGATTGTTTTAGGTAGGAGGAGTATGGGAGGGAAACGTGACTGCAGGAAGCGTGGTCTTACAATAACAGTAGCTGTCACTGCAAAAAGGGACTGAGAGAATCAGGGGAACCGCTGGGTTTTGTTTCGCAGCGCTTTGAATCCTTTGCTCAAACTCTGAGTTTGCAAAACTGCTGCTGGGAAATTCTGCTGCTTCCAAACGTTTTGTGTTTCAGCCAAGTCACCCTGCAAACCGTCGGGTGAATCGTCAGCTTTGTAGTAAATGTTCTGGTGAATTTCTGGTTAGAAGGGAACATTGGGTTTTGCCTTTTGTTTCCCTTAGCGGCTTTACTGTTTATCTGTATTTATTTGTTACTGATGACTGATGTGGTTTGCTATAGAACACGAGATTTGCAGCACAAGGAATACCTGCTTAGTCTTTTTCAGTGTGAACACCAATTAGGAAAAGAAGGGAGTCGTTCTCAGGGCTTGTGAGGGCTGCAGGTGCAGAATATTATTTTTCTGGCCTCAGTGCTGTGATGAAGTAAGCGCTGATCCAGACTTTGCAACTGCTAAGCTCCTTTTCTTCCTTTACCAGTGTATGATGTTACAAGGAAAGACACTTTCACAGGCTTAGAGAGCTGGCTGAACGAGCTGGAGATATACACCACCAAAAGCGACGCTGTGAAGATGTTAGTTGGCAATAAAACTGATAAGGTCAGTTCAGAAATGCATCGTCTTACACTCTTCTGCAGGCGACTCAATCATGAGACAGAATAAATGTGAGATAAGCTCTGAAACGATCACGTTTCTTGTGTGAGGAGGTGATGGGCTCTGGAACTTGGGCTGGGGAGGCTCCTTTTTGCTGCCTCATTTGAGAAGCAGCTCGTATTGGAATTTTGTGGATGTGCTCCTGGAGAGATGCAGTTAATGAGAGAGATTTCAATTACTGGAAAACAGTGGAAGTTTCTGGCTGGGAACTGTGAAATACCTTTTAATTTAAGAGCAGTGCAACAGAACAGCTCCTCTGCCTCTTTGAGCTGACCGTGCTTTGGGCAGGAGGATTCTGCTCTTACCTTCAGCTGGCTGTTAATCATACATCTGTGTGGGTGAGGTGCACACACCTCTGGACATCTCTGGGCATTTTTGACACATCCTAGATGCACATTGCTTAGCGAGATGTGTTTCACTCTTGCTTTACTTCAGGAGGTTTCCAGTGTGGCTGTCCTGAAGTAGGTAGCTGGAATTCTTAGCTGCCTGTGTATCTGCATGGAGCACTTTGTACTTGTCTTGGGATTTTGGGGAAATCCTCCTTTTCCACTTACCCAGTCTGACAAATTTCAGACATCTTTGGTATGTTTCTTCAGCTGTTTGACTATTGTAACTTCCTTTCTGGCGTTTCCTTTGCTCCCCCTTGATTCAGAAGATAACAACATCTTAATTTCCTGCTGATTCGGTGTTGCTGCTCTTCAGTTTGACCCTCCGTTGGCTCTGCCTGACACCAATACTACTTAATGCTTTTGAGCTGACTGTAGAGGGAGGGATATTCAGTTGATGGCTGCGACGTGATTTTATAGACTTTTTCTTTCTTTCCAGCAAAAAACTTCAATTCTACAGTGCTGCTTTTCCAGGGAGTTCCTTAAGCTTGCAAATATATTGAGTCATTTCTTCATTCATCTCTGCAGCCTGATCGGGAAGTAGAGAGAAGAGAGGGACTCCAGTTTGCTAAGAAACGCTCATTGCTGTTCATAGGTATGGAACCATGCCAGAAGTGCTTATGTTCATGGATTGTTTGTGTGCTGTTCTGTAACTGACAGTGCTTTTTTCTGACAGTGAGATTCCTTCATGCGCTGTGTAGGCACGAGTTCTATATCCTCATGAATTTTTTTAAGGTCATCTTTAAAACTCACAGTCTGAGAGGCTGGAGGCTTGCAAATAAGATGAAGTCTTTGATTTTTATTGGTTTTGTTTTTCTTTTTCCCCCTTTTTTCTTCCTGCCCACAGAGACCAGTGCCAAAACAGAGGATGGAGTGCAGCATGCCTTTGAGGAACTAGTGATAAAGATCCTGCAGACGCCAAATCTTTTGGATAAAAGCACAGAGAAGAAGAGAGTCCAGCTAAAGGAATCGTCACAGCAGGAGAAAAGCGTGTGCACTGCATACTGTCCACTTTCTTAGGTCTGCAGGTGGCTGTTCTGTCCAAACGGAGTGCAGTTCAGAAGAATACACTGAGGGCTTTCAGGAGCTGCTCTGTGCCTTGTTTGACCTGCTACAGTTGTGTAGATTTGATACCAAACTGATTAACAAAACACTCTTTTATTCACTAACAAAGTACAGTTTCTTTCTGTTATGCACATCTGATATCTGCAGGTATCAATTTAATGCTTTTTCTGATAACTCAGATTTGTTACTAGTAAATCATACTCTTACAGTATGCTTTTGGCATTTGACATTTACTTTTTCTAGAATTCCTGCCTTGGCATAAGAGTTTTCCATTTTGGAATGTTGCTGTAAAGCTTCTCCTCCCCAAAGTGGCACAGGAGTCTTTCAGGCTGCCAGCTTCTCTTTAATGCACTCCCTGCTCAGGAGTCACCCTAAGCAGTGACATTTCCACTCTATTTCAGATGGTTTTAAGCACTCAGAATCACTGTGGGTCTGCAGACAACAAGCTGAGTCACTGCTAAATGTGAGGTTTGTAGTGAACAGTCATATTCAGTAACATTCTGCAGGAAGCAAATGCTTCCTGTGCTGTACACTGTAGGTTATCCCTTGCTGCTCTTCACTGCGTGGTGCTGAGGATCAGAGGTGCTTTGGAGTCATCATTTTGGGCCAGCTGACAGCATGGGTACTTCTGCAGTTGACAGAATAATCTGCAAACCTGGGTTTCTACTCTGATTCAGCAATTGCAGGGTGAGAGGTGGGTTCAGTATAGAATGTGCTGGTGATGGAAGGTTGTGCAGTAACAAGAGTGTGTCCATTGCCGATCTCATGATGAAGTTCTACAAGATAGCTGCTGCTTTTTACCTTCTCTCTGCTCCAAAACTCACTGCCTTTCCTTGAAAACAAGCTTTGAGTCTTGTAGGATGCTTTGGTTCTGGGTTTGGTAGCAATACTGTTAGGAAGGCTTTGTTAGGTAACACGGTAACAGTACTAAGTAAAAACTTGGGGATGTTAAGTGTTTAAAATGGAAGCTGGAGCGTTAGGAGATAAATGACAAATCCAAAGATGTTCTGTCATTACAGGATGTTGTCAAATTGGAACAGAAATGCTGCCTTGCTTAGGGTGCACATTTTAATCCATTGCTATCAAGTTAAATTATTAGGAGGGCTTTCCTGAGTGACACCAGGGATCTAACATTAATGCTGCTGTACAGCAGCTGAAGGCAAGGTGCACAAACTTCAGCTTTCCTTTGCAACTATTGCAGCTTGTTCTCTATAAATGCTCTGGAGCTGTTTTCATCTGTGAAAAGAACGCATGAGAAACTGTCACAAGAGAATAAAATGCCTTTATTGGGTTTTTACATCTGTTTTTCTTTGTCTTGCAATGGGTCACATATCACCTCTATTGCAGTCAGTCTGAGGAAGGTGATGACAGATGCTATAGTGGTGTTTGATGGCTTTGAGCAGATGTTTCCATTGATAAAGCCAGCTGAAGGGATGCTCCTTCATACCTACCTCCTTGTTTCAGTCTTTAAAACACCCCTGCGAAATAACATTCATTGTATCCACTTCCAAGAGCAGAAGTTTCAGCTGGTTGCCCTACAGCAGCTGGGTGTGCATGCTGCAAGCTGCTCACCAAGGGATGGAATCCTACCCATCTATGAGCAGTGTGTGTCATAATTCAAGGGCTGGAATCTCCAAGTACTGCTGCAAGCAAGAGCATGACCACCCCAAAGAGACTGGAAAATCAAATCTGGAAGATGGGAGTCTGTGGCAACTTGAACAAAGTCACAGGAACAGGTGGGAGGGACGTATGGGAACAGGGGGAGATAAAATGACTGCTGCTCTGTGGGGTGTAAAATGGCCTCTGCTGGTTGTGGTGGTGTTCTGGCAACAGGCCACTAAGGTGGGTCGCTTTCCTATGTTTCCTGGGGTTGAGGACAAGACTGGAGAGAAGAAAGATGAGTTCTTTGCTGGTGAACGTGGGTGAAATTACGTCAGTGTAGTCTAAGAGCTGGGATGAAGACAAAACTGGGTGCTGTGGGCTGTCTGACTCGTGTTGCTGACCAGAGAAAGGCTGCATGGAGGGATTTGGGGCTCGGTAATATCACAAAACTTGTTTTCACTTCAGGTGTTTTGTTTTTTTCTTTTTGCTTTGTTTTTTTTTTCCTGTGTCTTTCAAGCAAGACCTTGGGTGGATAAAACGGCTCCGCATGCACAGAGCTGGCAGCATGTTAACCTGAGGAAGATTCAGGTATTTGTAACCCCACATCTGTGTGATAACAGTGCTTCAGGTAGCAGGGAATCTGTTGGAACACAGGGAGCAGGGTGACAGAATTCATGTGAGGAGGGGTAAGGGCAAGAAAAAGAAAACAGAATGCGTTACTGCTTTCGTGTCAAGTTTGTTTATGTATATAATACATCATGGAGGTGGGATAGGAAAGCAAGGAAGCAGTGACAAAGCACAGCTCCAGAGCCTGGTGCTTTGGGGATATGGTTGAGAATTGAGGTGTTTGTTTTTAAACATAAATGGGCAACGTAACAGTGAGAGCCAGCCCAGGAAAGAGTCTCATGAGAACAGCACTGCAAACTTTCTCTTGCACAGGAGGATCAAAAGCGAATCAGTCAGATTGAAAGAGACAATAAGAAGCTCCTTGAGAACCTTGCTGCCATCCAACGAGGGCCGGCAAGGGTGGATTGTTGGAATAAATGCTTTTACAGAAGGTAGCTGCTGTTCTACCCTTCCTTCCAGGTGTATGGGGGGGAAGGAAGGGTGCTTTTTCCACATGTCCTCTCCTTCCTGTTCGTTTTGACAAAGGTGTTCATTTCTGCTCCCAGGTCAACAAGCGATAAACAGAACAGGAAAATAATGACTGTCACGGTGGAAAATCACGGACTCCTGAAAAGGCTTGCTAACAGTAAGCCTACCTACGATCAAAAGAAGTTTGAAATGGAATGGCAGGCACGTAGCTGAATTTTTGTATACCTCTGACAACTGGGGTTAAGGTATCTTAAAGTTCTCAGGTATGGATGTACCTAAAGCCACCACAACTGAGTCCTGGATTGAGTAAGTGAGTAATAGACAGGAGATGAAGCAGATGGGTAAGGGCAGGAAAAAAGGATGAAGCGTACTTCCTTAGGTGTTGTGTTTGTTTAACAATGCATAATTAGACTTGGTGATAAAACCCATCAATCTTTTTTCCTTGGCAGAACACGAGACAGTTTAAATAGACTGCCAACCAATGCTGCATCTCCTCCCAAGAGACTGAGGTATGTTTTTATACATCAGGTGCCATTTCCTAAAAACAAAGAAGCTGGGGTGGACGTAGCAGGATTCTAATCTGTGCACATGTGAAATGTGTATGTTCTATAGTAAATTGCCATCTTAATCCTAACAACAAATGTGGCTGGAGATAAACTCACCTGGTTTTGAATAAGCTGTGTGCCTGAGCGTTCCCTGGCTGTGCTCTGCTCAACTCATTTTAGAAAGGAAAGCAGTTCAGATGCAGTCAGTGTAAGGACAGGGAGCTGCCTGACAACCTCAGGTACCGTGGCTGTTAAGCACAGCTCTTCCTTGCACACTACAAATAGGAAAGGCTACGTTAATTTCAAGCATGGGCAAGGGAGGGAGAGAGAGGGAGAAGGGAGAAAGAGGTTCAGTTTGTTGAAATATTTTGACTTGGGGTTGCTGGTACCGCTTACAAAGCAGGACTTCAAACTCAAGGAAGTTTGCATGCTGGCTTTCTTTATAATCTCTTCTTTTTGCCCCTCCTCACTGCAGAGCACAAACCAGGCCTGGCCTTGACTCGGTGTTGTCTGAATTGGAATCTTGTCCTGGAAACAGACATCTGTTACGTGTGCCTCTTCCTGAGACTGTCAGAATAAAGAGGAGAATACACAGAAGCACTGACTGTTTTTCTTTACTATGTACATGTATATATTCTCTCCCCATCATTTACTTCGAACCTAAATAAGTCCTCAATCAGAAAAGCGAAACAAATGTTTCTGATAGTATCTAAGTTATGATCTGTGGGAGTGTACATCAATGTGGAATATCTGCACATAACTCAAAAAAAAAAAAAAAAGATTATTTAACTGACACTGAATATTTTAGGTCATATTTAATGGGAGTTGTATATTTTACCCTGAAAACTGCAATATATATCCTGTGGTGAGATCGATCTGGTATGATATTGATTGATATTTTAATAAATCTCCTTAGCTTGAGATGCTGTTAAACTACTGCACTCATTTTTTTTTTCCTGTCTCTTCCTACTCGCCTCCCTTTGGTGGCTGTGCTGGGCCAAAGCTGCAGCAGCTTATTGGCAGAGCTGATGGGCCACAACCACATGAGGGAATCCTTGTACAGCTGCTGGGAGGCTTCCAGTCTGGCAGCGTGTTTTCTGACAAGCCAGAGCAGTTCTAGCAGACTGCAGGAAGTGCTGTTCTTTGCAGGGTGATACTTGGAAGTTAGCATTCGGAGAAGATGGACAGACAACTTTTTGGGCTGGAGTTAATGTAGATTCGGAGACACTAAATAAGAAATATGCTTTTAATAAGTAATGGTGTCAGTTTTGCTGAATGCTCTGGAACAAGAATAACATCACACTGTTAAAAGAATGAGACCAGTGTACCAGAAGGTGTTGTTAGAGGACACAGTACAGAGGAAAGATTAGAACTCAACAGGCAATGGAAAACAGGAACAAGTTTCAGGTAATGCACACCTGCACTGTACTCACAAAATCAATGCGTTTTCTTGGACCTGCCCACCTTAAAAAGCTGCATATTCTTTCTGCCAAGTCCTCCAACAGATAAAATTTCCTCTTCAAGACGTGATGGAGCCAAGTGCCATGCCACAAAGGTAACATAAGGTTGCCTTCACTTGATTTGTAACAAAGGTTTTCGTAAGTGCTGGGAGAATGACGATTCAGTGCTGTAGCTCAGCTTCCTGGTGTTTCAGCCTCCCCTCCTGGCAGCCTTTGCAGAGCTGCTCTGTTGCTGTCCACGTGGTGCCCCAGCAGCTGGCATTTGCAAAGATGCCTTGTAGAAAATAAGCTTCTTCAAGTCATGTTTTACACCATACACACTTTTCAGGTAGGCTAAAGAACGTCCGCGGGTTATGAGCTGGATCAATCACACAGGTATGTTTACAGGCTGCTTAACATCTATCCTGTGCTGTTAGGAAGAGAGCGACTGGGAAAGTGGGCAAAAGCCATAGCTGAGCAGACTAATTACTACCTATGCAAGACAGCCAGAAGCACGGGGAAAGGGCTGAGCTGGAAAAACAGAACCAACAATACGAACAAAAGTCCCACCGCCACCTCTCAGCTGCTAAAACACAGACGATTTACTGAGCCAGTCTAGTTGTTGTGCCTAATTAGAAAGGGTTTGCAACCAGAAATACTGAGTGGAAGAAAGCCAGCTGGACATTTAAGGAACTGACAGGGTGAGGGCTCTCTCCCTCGCCCCTGAAGTAGCAGACTTGCTCCTGGATGAAGAATCTTGTTCAGATGCCACACGAGGTCTGGCCAAACGCTGAAGCTTCTAACATCACTTCAGTGCTTTTGGAGTATGGGACCCTCTGCACATTTTTCCCTTACAAAGTGCAATATTTGCAGTCTAAAAGTCACTCCAGTCTTTTACTAACCTGTTCAGGCTGAGAGTGCACAGCTGGTACTCAGGATTCCAATTCAAGAAGGCAGTATCAGCTTCTGACTTTATTTTTCCCCTGTAGTCTTTACATATTATTTTCTAGAGAGAATGGCAGTTTTGCAGTGAAATCAACACATTTCCCTTTTGTCATCCATATATTTACAAGGCTTTTTAAATAAATTCTTTCCTTTAAACAGATGATAGCAAACTATGACCTAACCCAGCTGACTGGCACCCAAAATGAATCCTTGTTTAGCTTATCTAGCACAGTTTTAAGCTGATTACATGCACTCTGGAGGTCTTCTTTCACCAGCGTAGTGTCAATTAAATGGCCATAGTGCTCTTCGATGAATGCTGCTGAATTAATAATTTCCTGCTGCTCTTCATCCTGCTGACCAACACAAGAAGATGATTTGATGTTTTCAGTACGCATCTGTAATTACTTATTAGCATTTTTATGGATGCTAGCACATGACTTTGCAAGAAATGAACCAAAGTGTTAGGAAAAGGGAGGAGAGATCTGGGAGCTGAGATGAAGGAGCAAGAGGCATTAGGGAGGGGGAAGAAACATATGACAAGAGGGAGCTAAGGCACTTCTCTCACACTGCAAAATAGAGATTAAGGTTAGAATACTTACAAGGGGTGTCGAGATTTCTTCTGACACAGGAGATTTTAGGACATTTTTTTTCTTTTCTGGAATGAGGGGCTTCACAAAGATAACATAAGGCTTAAATTCAGGAGTCCTCAAGTGCTTCACTGCCTGTGAACAGATGTATTTTCTTTTCTCATGTCATATTACATACACTGTGTGCCAGTGATCTGCTGATCATGCTGGGTTCAACAGTTCCACTTGTGTCACACCCAGGCCTTCATGCCACATCTAACCACAGCATGCTTTCGTTCTTCAAGGAGAAAGTTAATATCAGCATGCTTTCAGGTATTACAAAAGCATGTGAGCATGGTCTGACTGCAGGGACACCTTGCTCTGCACCACAGCCCCAGGAACAAAGACATGAAAAAAGGACAAAAGGAATGATGTGACAGGCAAGTTATGGTTTGCTTCTTGTAACCAACTCAGCCAGCAGCCCGGCCACCTGTCAGAAAGGTGTTCAAAAAACATCACTGCTCTCTGCACAGCAAGCAGCCCCAAAAGGTGAACAATGTTTGTTACTCAGGCAGGCAGCATTACTAGAAATATTTGCTTTCCTTACAAGAAACTGCTGAACTTACTTCAGGAACCACATCCACCAAACAAACCTTCTTTTTGGCCATCACAGACCGGATTGCCTCAAGACTTGTGCCATACAGGTTTTCTTTGTATTCTCCATGTTCCACAAATCTAAAAAGTAAATGTATGTTTCTTAAATACAGCCCACAAGGCACATCTAACTTTCAACTCCTGATAGCTGTTTCCCAAAGTCACAACGGTCAAATATTGTGGAGGGAAGGAAGGTGGGGAAAAAAAGGGTTTCTTTTTCTCATTTTTTCCTTTGGTTGCTTAGTAACAGTTGTCTTCTTCCCATGATACTGCTAGTGAATCAGCACTACTGAAAAACAGGGGAAGAAGCTGCATTGATTCAGTTGACTGCTGTTCAAGTCTACTAAAACAAAGAAGTTGTTTCTCAAATGGAATAGAACAAAGCTGGCAAGGAAACGCACTTGGATTCTTCCACCTTCTGGGAGGTTAGCCAAAATCTGCACTTCTAGGAAACAAGCCTGATCTTACAGAAAGTCCTTCATACCGATGGGCTTAGCCTACAACTCACTTTGAAGTGGAATTATGAATTAAATTTCCCCATGTTGCCCATCATATTAAACAAAGAATAAAGTAGGACCAACTAAGTATCTGTTACTTTCACGAGGCTCAGTTCAGATCAATCACAGGCTTAAATTCTAACTTCTGGTATTCCTACCTCTCCTCTGTTGTTTCTAAGTTGTCTCTCAGTATAATTCTTGCTTCACACTAACAGTCCAAACTGAATAAAAGTTGTTCCTGGAAAACAGAACCCTTCCAAAATGGCTCCTCCAGTTTTCCCTGATTTTGGTATTCACATTACATGACATTTACTTAGCAATATTTTCAAGACATAACCAGATATATCCGTATTTTAAAATTAACTCACTTGTTTTGCTGCACATCTGTCTCAAATGATTGCTTAGAGACAAAGTTGTATTCGACTCCCTCTTTCTCATGACTTTTCTTTGACCTTGTTGTATCTAAAAGAAAGTGGAAGCAAAGCACAGCACACAGGTCAGCTTCTGCAGACAACGCTACCATCTCTGTTCAGTTTCAGTCATGTTTTCATGACCTCAACCAAGGCAGTCAAAATTAATATAAAATATAAGTGACGTTAGTATTTTGCTGTAAACTACATTACAGGATTGAAAATGAAGTTAGTTTGGGTATTGGATTCCTGTTCTTTGAAACTCAGAAAATAAACATAGAAAGTAGATAAAATTCTGCTGTGTTGCCTGTGAAATTTAAGTATGAACATGCCTGGCTGTCTGTAGAATTGGGTCCTTGATGGCTTATATGCAATCAGACATCTTCCCTCAGAGTTCAAGACTGCTAATATTATGCAGTATTTATTTAAGTTTATTCTCTTCCCAAACACAAAATCCCATCCCTTATAGTAACAGAAACAAATGCAAACTCTGATTTGATTTGTGTCTGCACTTCCAGCTCCACAGTTAGGCAGATATTCACCCGCTGCTTGAAAACTCCTGTTGGTTACAGCAGTTTACATTCTTAGTTATATACAACACATTATGCACGTGCACGAAGTTGTACTCCGATCCACTCAGACTTTCATGATGAGAAAACAATTTCCACACACAAATAGTCAACAGCTGAAGCACTGACTGATCAATGCAATGAATCCCCATTCCCCAGTGCAGCTAGCACTGGGCTTTTCAACAGAATCGATGGAACAAAGTGGCAACACAGTGTCAGTAAATTCTACTCACGTGGAACTGCAACACCATACTCCTGTGGGTTCTCTGACACAACTTTCTGCTTGAGCTCGTTTAATCTGGCTCCCAAACAACCTAACAAAAGAGAATGGTCTGATTATTTCTTGTGGGGAAGAAGTACTGTAAAGAGAATAAATTACATCTGTTCTAGCCATTCCATCCATGAGGTCTATCCTGGTGAGGGTTTTTGGTTGTTTTTTTTTTGTCATTTAAAAGAAAACAACAAAATAATAATTATAATAAAAAATAAAAAGCTTTTGGAGTGAAGGCAAAAAGGG